AGTTTGAGTTGAAGTTTTAGTTTTCACCTTATTTTTTTAAGAGAGATTTAAATGTTGTATAATGTATGAATTCTTTGCATATGTAATTATTTTGTAGAATAGCAATGATAAGACTTAATAATTAAGTCAAACTCACAGGAAAGAGTCACAAAGACTTCAGTTCAATTCCTGTTATAAATTCAAATATACTATGTATAATTATGAACAAATCCTCCTGTAACGAAGTTTTCAATATTTTCTTTCATATTTTTTCCCGTTTTACTTATTCAACTAGTTGAATCGTTCGGTTTAAAGCCTGTTGACTACACTATGGATAATAAGCAACATATTGTAATGAGCTGCAGGTAAACTTTCACCACCAGACAAGAATACTTTAATCCATGAAATAGGGATTAAATAAACACTCAGCATATATACTCCGAGGTATATATATAATTATATATATATATATATATATATATATATACATCTCGGTGTATATATCCTATTTATTATCCAATATTACTCACAACAGTTTAGAACTATTGACAAACACTTAGATTCAAGTTATTTATTATAATAACAAACTTTGCAAGTTCCATGAAAATAAATATGTTAATAAGATACTATTTGTTAAAGAATTATATTTATTATTATTTGTAACAACATCCCCCCAATGAAAAGCAGGGGTGTCACTAGCACGTTAAGAGACCATACAATAAGTGTCAGGGGCCCGAGACTGTTCAACTGCCTCCCAGCATACATAAGGGGGATTACCAACAGACCCCTGGCAGTCTTCAAGCTGGCACTGGACAAACACCTAAAGTCGGTTCCTGACCAGCCGGGCTGTGGCTCGTACATTGGTTTGCGTGCAGCCAGCAGCAACAGCCTGGTTGATCAAGCTCTGATCCACCAGGAGGCCTGGTCACAGACCGGGCCGCGGGGGCGTTGACCCCAGAAACTCTCTCCAGGTAAACTCCAGGTAACAGGATCGGGAAAATATTTTGACCTTTATTCCATGTTAATAGTTCTTCTTTTCTTCTTTTTAGTATGTCCTTTGTGAGTCATGTTTTGATTATTATTATTATTATATTATTATTATTATTATTATTATTATTATTATTATTATTATATTATTATTATTATTATTATTATTATTATTATTATTATTATTATTATTATTATTATTATTTGCTGTCTTTTTCTCTTCTCTTCCTCGTTCTTTTTCTTATTATTATTAGTATTGTCATTATTATTAATATTATTATGTTGGGTGTTAAACCCACTGCGCCAAACAGCGATTAACTATGGTAATAATTTCTCTATGGTTCTTTCTAAGATTCTTACTAAAATTCTTACTAAGGATCTTACTAAGATTCTTATTATAGTTCTTACAAAGGTTCTCACTAAAGTTCTTAACAAGGTTCTCATTAAGATTCTTACTAAGGCTCTCACTAAAGTTCTGACTGAGGTTCTTACTGAGGTTCTCACTAAGGTTCTCACTAAGATTCTTACTAATATTCTTACTAAGGCTCTCACTAAAGTTCTGACTGAGGTTCTTACTAAGGTTCTCACTAAGGTTCTCACTAAGATTCTTACTAAGGTTCTCACTAAAGTTCTTACTCAGGCTCTCACTAAGATTCTTACTAAGGTTCTTACTAGGGTTCTCACTAAAGTTCTTACTCAGGCTCTCACTAAGATTCTTACTAAGGTTCTTACTAGGGTTCTCACTAAAGTTCTTACTCAGGCTCTCACAAAGATTCTTACTAAGGTTCTTACTAGGGTTCATACTAAGGTTCTCACTAAAGTTCTTACTAAGGTTCTCACTAAGGTTTTCACTAAGGTTCTTACTAAGATTCGTAATAAAGTTCTTACTATGGTTCTTACTAATGTTCTCATTAAGATTCTAAGCAAAGTTCTCACTAAGATTCTTATTAAGGTTCTTATCAAAGTTCTTACTAAAGTTCTTACCAAGGTTCTCACTAAAGTTCTCATCATGGTTCTTACTAAAGTTCTTACCAATTTTTTCACCAAGGCTCTTACTAAGGTTCTCATTAAGATTCTTACTAAGGTTCTCACTAAGATTCTTATTATGGTTCTTATCAAAGTTCTTACTAAAGTTCTTACCAAGGTTCTCACGAAAATTCTTATCAAGGTTCTTACTAATGTTCTTACCAAGGTTCTCACTAAGGTTCTTACTAAGGTTCTCACAAAGTACTTACTGAGATTCTTACTAAGGTTCTCATTAAGGCTCTCACTAAGTTTCTCACTAAGATTCTTAGTAGGGTTCTTACTAAAGTTTTTACTAAGATTCTTAACTAGGGTTCTCATTAAGGTTCTTACTAAGGTTCTCGTTAAGGTTCTTACTATGGTTCTTATCAAAGTTCTTACTAAAGTTCTTACCAAGGTTCTCACTAAAATTCTTATCAAGGTTCTTACTAATGTTCTTACGAAGGTTCTCACTAAGGATCTTACAAAGGTTCTGACTAAAGTTATTACCAAGGTTCTTATTACGGTTTTCACTAAGGTTCTTACCAAGGTTCTCACTAAGGTTCTTACCAAGGTTCTCACTAAAGTTCTTACCAAGGCTGTTACCAAGGTTCTCACTAATGTTCTTAGTATGCTCTTACCAAGGTTCTCATCAAGGTTCTTACCAAGGTTCTAAGTAATTTTCGCACTAAGGCTCTTCCAAAAGTTCTCACCAAGGTTCTTACTAAGGTTCTCACTAAGGTTCTTATAAAAGTTCTTAGTAAGTTTCTGACTAAGACTCTTCCAAAGGTTCTTACCAAAGCTCTCCGTTTAATATTAACTGTAAATCTTGGTGGCTGTACAAATCCTTATAGTACATCTTGACACTGACTATTATAGTGCCTTACCAGAACCATTCTTGGCATTTATCTAAATTCGGTTCCACTGCTCCTCCGTCTCATCCAAGTGTTTTCGTAGTGACTAAATGACTCACGAAATCGTAATAGCACGATCGCTAAAAAAACACGGAACGGGTGGTACAAGCAGGTGGGGTATAGTTATGGAGTGGTTGGTACTTATATTTAATAAATAGTATATGGAAGAAGGTAGGGTACCTAGGGATTGGCGGAGAGCATGCATAGTTCATTTGTATAAAGGCAAAGGGGCAAAACTAAGTGTAAAAATTATAAAGGAATAAGCCTGTTGAGCATACCTGGTAAAGCGTATGGTAGAGTTGTTATTGACAGAATTAAGAATAAGACAGAGAGCAGGATCGCAGATGAACAAGGAGACTTTAGGAAGTGTAGGGTGGTGTAGACCTAGTTTTTACAAAGAAACATATAGGTGAACAGTATTTAGATAAGGGTAAATATTTTTTTACTGCTTTTGTGGATTTTGAAAAGGCGGATGATAGGGTAGACAGAGGGGAATGTAGCAGATGTTATAAATGTATGGAACAGGAGGCAGGTTAATGAAAGCAGTGAAGAGTTTTTAGGAGGATAGTGATACTCAGGTTAGAGTATGTAATAGAGAGGGAAACTATTTCCCAGTAAAAGTAGTTCTTAGACAGAGATATGTGATGTCAAGTCACCAATGGTTGTCGGGTGTATTTGTAGATGGGTTTGTAAGGGAAGTGAATGATTGGGTAGTTGGCAAGAGATGTGGGATTAAAAGATGAAGAATTTAACACAAAGTGTGAGTTGTCATCGGTGTTTTTGCTGATGACACTATTCTTTTAGGAGATTCTGAAGAGAAGTTGCATAGATGGTGGACGAGTTTGGTTAGGTATTTAAAAGAAGGAAATCAAAAGTGAACATCGGAAAGAGTAAGGTGATGATAATAGAAATAATTAGCTAATGAAAGGTTATATATCAGACTGGAAGAAGAAAGTATGGAGGAAGTGAATGTATTCAGATATTTGGGAGTGGACTTGTCAGCAGATGGGTCTATGAAAGATGAGGTGAATCATAGAATTGATGAAAAAGGTGAGTAGTGCACTGGGGAATCTGTGGAGGCAAAGAATGTTATCCACAGATGCAAACAAAGGAATCTATGAGAGTATAGTTATACCAACGCTCTGATATGGGTGTGAAACATGGGTGGTGAATGTTGCAACAAGGAGAAGGCTGGAGGTAGTGGAAATTTCGTGTCTGAGGGCAATGTGCATTGTGAATATAATGCAGAGAATCCATAGTTTGGAAATTAGGAGGCACTGGGTTACTAAAAGTATTATCCAGAGGGAGGGCTAAGGAAGGGTTGTTGAGGTGGTTTGGATATTTAGAAAGGGTGGAACGAAATAGAATGACTTGGAGAAGGTATAAATCTGAAGAGAGGGATAAAGGAGGTTTTGTGTGCCAGGGGCCTGCACTTCTAGCAAGCGTGTGTGAGCGCATTAGACTGGAACGAGTAGAGACAAATGTTTCTTGACTTGACATGCAGCTGGAGTGTGAGAAAAGTAACATTTATGAAGGGACTCAGGAAAACCGGCAGGCCGGACTTGAGTCCTGGAGATGCGAAGTAAAGTGCCTTTACTCTACAGGAGGGGTGTTATTGTTGCAGTTTTGTAACTGTAGTTTAAGCACGCCTCTGGCAAGACAGTGATGGAGTGAATGATGATGAAAGTGTTTTTCCTTTACGGGTCACCTTACCTTGGTGGGACACGGCCGATGTGTTAATAAAATAAATATTATAATCAGGCATTAAATTTTATTGGAGTTCTGAAAAAGCATTAACTTTAGTGCTGATGTTTGTGTATTAAGAAAACTTGTCTTGGAATATCATTCAACTTCGATATATTACGAATGATTCTACATAATTTATGTTACAAAAATATTATGTACAAGGAGCAATTGGACCGGTAAACCAGCCTTCCGCTGCCTTACCGGTCCACCCCTTTAAAAATTATGGTCATAGTTATAACCATTTTTGCTTGATAAAACTAGATATAATAAACCTTTTTTCCTAATTAGCAGCTGCTGCTGCTTGCAGATTTATTACATATTAAGTTTGGAGACAGGTATATTTGCAGGGTGAAACAAATATGTAATGCAGGGAAGAAATTTTATTTCATAGTATTTAAAGTTCAACACAATAAATGTTCTTAATTACATTGTATTGTTGGAGAAAGAATTTGGAAAATATTCTTATTGATTGCTGATTAAGCGAAGACTCTTGTTTATTTGCCGTATCCTGTAGAGAAAAAGTTTAGAGTCAGCTTTATGGTAAGATAATTAACTCTTAACCAAATTAAATTGTTGACTTTTATTTTTTTAGGGATATTGTATTTTTTTACTTAATAAGAACATGAACAAATATACTCACCACCATATCTGCGTCCAGATCCACCTCCAAATCCACCACCGAAGCCTCCGCTACCTCCTGTGGAGGGTTATATAACTTTGAAAATATTCGGCTTACAATACGGAATGCGATATTCATACTATTTTCTTTTCAAAAGCAAAGTGCAATTTATCTGATTTATAGAGGAATTTAACTTATTTAAATATTAATTAAAGTTATATTTTTTAATAAAATGTGACAAAACTCTTATAACCCATTCAAAACAGTCAAGCAACCTAATCTTTCTTGTCTGTTACAGTGTACTCACAATTTTTTTTTTTTTTGTCAACTCTTTCCACACCTAATATTTTCCGTCCTCATTCATGCCATCGATCTTACGGCCAAAAATACAAAAATACAAAACTTACCGTAACCACCAAAACCTCCTCCTCCTGTCAAATAGAAAAAGAATTGGCAATTTCTTTCATAAATATATGTATGTTGTACAGTGTTATGGATCTATTATACTCAAAAATAATTTTATTTGCGTTTTAACAATTAAAACTAATTTCATTGTCATTTTCTCGAATGATCAATTGACTGAATTCGTGTTAGTGAGAAAGACGTTACTGGTACTAATAATATATAATAATCTGTGCAGTAATATTAAATTTTCCATTCAAAATATTCGATTGTTACTATCATACCTCCACCGAAGCCACCTCCACCGATGCCACCTCCACCAAAACCACCACGACCACCACTGTAGCCTCCACCAAACCTGCCGGCGCTGGCCATCACAATCATCACACACAGGACAATCAGGATGCAAACTTTACCAATCTGAAGACAAGAAGTTATCATATTATATATATATATATATATTAATATATATATATATTATATAATATATATATATATTATATTTATATATATATATATATATATATATATATAATAATTTTACAATTTGTATTTGGCATTAATATTGTATATAATTCTTGATAATATATGACTAGAGTTATATCATGTAAGATGAGAAGAACGGTTTAATTACCATGTTGACTGTTGAAGTGCTCTGAGACAACTGACCACCATCCTCAGCTTCTGGGTTATTTATACTCAGCTGTCCAAGGAAATTACTCAGGGAAAACAACTGAATAAGGTCACAGTGACAAACAGATTGAGTCACCATTTAACTGTGATATGAGTAACAGGGAACTGTGAGTACAGTAGAAGGATTGTGGGAAGAGAAAGAGGGTGAGGGGAAAATGCAAATGTGTATTGACCAAAATATTGGTGAGAGGAGCACAAGGTTGAATAGGAGGTGGTAATGGAGGAGGGAAAGTTGGGTTGCTGTTGGGGAACTAGAAGAGATGACTGTATACTGAAGCGTAATACATGAGATATAACAAAGCTTTCCACGTAAGTATTATTCAGCAGTATATCTGATCACTAGAGGTTGTTCAAGAATATACAATGTATGATCATGAATGCAAGGTGATGATCTAGGCAAGGACTAATTTATTTATTATTTTATATTTTGAACAAGTGGAGTGCATTGCGACACAGGAAAATGGTGTAAATAATGAAATAAATATATGATATATAACTCATATTTCCTGTTTTATTTTTTTTTAAATATGGGTTTGTATTTTTTCAAAGTTACGTTCGTCTTGTATGTATGTTTTTAATCGAAGCGGCAACACTAAATTTAAAATCTGGCATTCATTATGGCTTAACAGTTAACATGACTCACGAAATCGTAATGACACGATTGCAAACAAACCATACCAGTGGCTAGCGCGCCAGTCTAGAGTTTTAAGACCCTCTGATCGCGGGTTCTAACCCCGCCCGAGGCATGATTTGCCAAACAGTTTAAACAAAGTTTATCATCCACTTTCCAAATTAAAATTGATCAGATTCTTCTTGAAGCCAAATACAATGTGTCAGGGAAGATACAAGTGGTGATTCAGCTTAAAAAACTCTGGCAGTCATGTGGTATGCTCAGATACTATAGTTTTACATGCTAGAACTCACACTCAGACATCTAAATGCCTATCAAACCAAACAACATATTTGTAAAAAGAATAGTGTGAGTAAATAACTAAATATCGAAAGTGAGTATATAACTCAGAAGGTAATAAAAACAAAGACTTCATGAAATAACAGACTGAAATAAATATGAAAACAATTTTGTGGTGAATATTTATTTTTAAGTTTATATAAAAAATTAAATTTTATCACTATAGTATTTCGTTAATCATTGTTGATGCAAAGCAAAAACATAACTCATATTGTGAGTAAAACTTCAATAATAACAACATTTGGTATTGTGAAGCATAATGTAAGAGTTTAATGTACATTTTTTTAATATAGACTGTATGATTTGTTCATATCTGACATGACAAAAAACTGCTTAACATATATTTTTTAGCTATTATATAATACTAGAATCACCACTCGCTCGTCTAACTCATGATTCAGTGGCACCTTTGATCTGTGGGGACCTCAGGTGTCATTGTCATTATCTATTGAATTACCAGTTTGTAGTTATTGATGAAGTATGATTTCGATGTCCTGTCTTCAGTGATAATTCTGGTATTTATACTTTAATGCTGCTGATTGATCTAGCCTTTATCACCTTCTCATGATACTGTTCAAGCATTCTTTTACTAATTTTATAACTCTGGATGCTTGTTTTCCCTGTTAATGGCCGTGATTTTACTGCATATTTCGATGTTTTAGAATAGTTGGAGACATTTTCCTTTTTTTGTAAGAAAACTTACAGTAATAGTCTAGCAACTTCCTAGAAGTGGTCGTGGAATACATTCTAAACAGCTAGAGACCAGAGAGCCACTCATAACAGGTTAACACACCATACCACGGGAGGGATTAGAACCCGCGACCAGAGAGTCTCAAAACTTCAGACCGTTTGTTTACAATCGTGTCATTACGATTTCGTGAGTCAGGTTAGCACCTGAGAATAGACATGGGAGTATGAGTCAACCAGACCAGCTTGATTAACCTGACAGCTGGTGGTCAAGCACATTACCCGGCTGGTAATCCAACTCTCACGCTACTGGATAATTAACAAAGCAGCGTGGCTCGTAGATAAGCTGCTCCATTTTGATTTCTCAGTTTGTTTTTTGAGAGAGCCTGTCAATGAGTGAATGGATGAACGTCGAATAAACTGTTACGTACCTGACGCACACCACTTTGACTGAAAAAAACGTTTCGGTAATTAAGATATCCAAGTGTCACACATATATATTATTCATCCAATTGTCGGTAGTATATTCCATTATTAATATTATAATGGCTAATTATTTGCAGGTGCATCAGACATGGATTTTCCATCCCATAAAAAATAGATTTTCACCACAGAGTAGTGTCTTAAGATTCACATTACTTGGAGTAGAACTTATAAGCTTTGATCAGGACTTTTTTTTTAGAACGATAATCTTATCTATTTATTCATTAGCATTTTTTCTGTTTATATTTTGTAACTAGAGCTGTAAGCTACGGTTTTCAATTATTTTTTAGGAATTTTAAGAAGTTTATCATTTGTGAATTGTTTACATATATAATTATTACGTCAAAAAAAGCTACAAAGGTTATGTAGTTAAGTTAAACTCAGAAAAAAGTTGTCACCTGGTCTTCAGTTCAATTACGTTATCAATTCATATTTACTCTGAATAATTTCTAAAAAAAAAAAAAAATTTCGTGTAACGAAGTTTTCAATATTTTCTAATTTCCTGTCTTACTTATCCAATTGTTTATTCATCTGATTTTAAGGCTGTTGATTACCTGAAGGTCATTAAAGCTGTTCATAACCTTTTCACCTCCACACAAAAAAATTTTAATATATAAAATATGGATTAAATTAAACTCTCAACATATATCCACTGAGAAACATATACCTCACACAACAGCTAAATATAATTTATAATCTTCCACTATAAGATTCAAATTATTTTTCATGTATTACAATAACAAACTGCAAGTTTCACGAAAACAAATATTTGGTTAATGTATTTGTAGTTTAATTTTTGTTGTAAAATATTTTGACTACGTGGAGTTTACTTGGAGAGGGTTTCGGGGTCAACGCCTCCGCAGCTCGGTCTGAGAGCACGCTCCGTGGTGGATCAGGGTCTGATCAACCAGGCTGTTACTGCTGGCCGCACGCAAACTGACATACGAACCACAACACGGCAGGTCAGATACTGACTTTAGGCGCCTGTTCAAGTGCCTTTTTGAAGACGTCAGGGTATATTGGTAATCCTTATGTATGCTGGGAGGCAGTTGAACAGTCTTGGGCCCCGGACACTTATTGTGTTGTCTCTCAGTGTACTCGTGGCGCCGTACTTTTCATTGGGAATATGTTGCATTCTCCTGGCGAGTCTTTGCTTTCATAGGGAGTGATTTTCGTGTGCCAGTTTGGTACTAATCCCTCTAGGATTTTCAAGTGTATTCTATCATGTATGTCTCTCGCCTGGTTCCAGGCAATACAAATCAAGGGACTTCATAATATTTAAGATTCAATACAATAATTGCATTTGATTACATCATGTTGTTGGGGGAAAAGAATTTTCTTTATTTGCCGTCTGCTGTAGGGAAAAAAGTTTATTGTTAATTAACCTTATTGTAAGAAAATGATTCAACCCAAATAAAACTATTCGATGCTTATTTTTTTGTATTGCTTTTTTACTCATTAATATCACAATATTGGCCTCAAGAGCCATCATTGAAGCCTCCCTTACCTCTTTTGGATGTTCAATTAGCTAAAAACAATATTCCTACTGCAAATTAATTATATAAAAATTATTTTTTTTTAAATAGCAATTAAACTTGAACTTTCCGAGTCTCGTCACTATGTGGCGAAAATAACTCTCTAAAAACCGTCCAAAGCAGTCATGCGAAGTTTGTTATGCGAGGTCTGTAACTATTATATAATCAGAGAGTAAAACTTTAACCAATCTGAAGACAAGACTTTGCATATTATATATGTGGTTTGAAATTTGTATTTGGCATTAGCATTGTATAATTCATGATAATAATATGTCTTGAGTTATATAAATGTAAGGACACGTTAGTTATCATGTTGACTGTTGTGGTGCTGTAAGACAACTAAACTGACCACCATCCTCAGCTTTCCGGGTTATAAATATCAGTGTGTCCAAGATATTACTATTGGAACCAATTGGATAAGGTCACAGTGACACACTGAGTCAACACAGTTAACCATGATATGAGTAACAGAGAGTTGTCAGGGAAAGAGAAGATTGTGGGAGGGAGGAAAAAAGCCGTGAATTGAACAAAATAGTGGTGAGAGAAACAAAAAGATGAAGAGGAGGTTGAAGTGGAAGAGGAGGCGAAGTTGGGGTGCGTTGGGGGAAGGGAAGTAGAAGAGATGATTGTGTATTTTGCAATAAAATAATAGAAAATGAACTTTAACAAGTCTTTGCATTCAAGTATATTCAGAAGTATATCTGAGCACTCGAGGTTATACATAAATATATAATGCATATTCATGTATGTGAGGAGATGGTTCTAACAAGGACTACTATTCTGTTTTCTATATTGCGCAGCAGTTCAAAAAAGTTAGTGAATAATACTCAGACACCATAGTTTTACATTCCAAAAGTTAACACTCAGATACCTTTAGTTTTCCATGAAAAAACACTCACATCAGTCATATCCTTCAGAGGAGACTTGCGTGATGAGTATTATGTGACTAAATGTGGAAACTGAGTACATTGCTCACATGTTCATTAAAACAGATCTCATGAAATAGTGGAATTAAATAAAAAAAAAGTTGAAGGTTTTAAACTTGTTTTATAGTACAAGCAAATCTTATCGCTCTACTGTTTAATCAGTCAATACTGTTGCCGAAATACTTCTGGCAATCATCTATTCGAGATTTACTTGAGAACTGATCACAAGAGTAGCATCATCTAGTATCGTGAAGCATAAGTCTCATATATAATATTATATTTATAAATTTATATATATTCATATACTATAACATCATATCTATACTAACTTATAGTTTATATATATATATATTATCAGACTGTATGATGTGTTCACTCTCACACAACATGAAATTGCTTAACTATCTTTCAGTTGTATTATCAGAC